CTTACTCAGCATCCCACTGTTTTTTTTTTTACATTGCCTGCTGTCCTATGTTGTCTGTTCATGTCTCCCTTTTCTTTCTTTTTTTCTTGGGGTGGGGGGCAGCTTCTCTGTTGCTCAGGCTAGAGTGCCATGGCATCAGCCTAATTCACAGCAACCTAAGACTCCTGGGTTCAAGCAATCCTCCTGCCCCAGCCTCCAGAGTAGCTGGGACTACAGGTGCCTGTCACAATGCCCACCTAATTTGTTTTCCTATTTTTAGTAGGAAAGGGGGTCTGGCTCTTGCTCAGGCTGGTCTTGAACTCCTGAACTCAGGTGATCCTCCTGCTTTAGCCTCCCGGAGTGCTAGAATTATTGACATGAGCCACCCTGCCCAGCCCTGTCTCACTTTTCTTATGCTAACATCCTGTGACACTTGGGTTACCCTTAGCTTATTATTACAGTATCTTCTCTTACTCAGCATCCTGCTTGTTTACCCTGACCTTTCCATACTTCTCCGCTCACCTCTTAACTTCCTACTTACTCTAACATTAGGAACTTCTTTTGTTGTGATAGTGGGTCTTAGCTCCTGGTTTCTGACATAAGAGATTCTAAGATCCTGGGACTCTCTGAGAGATGAGTGCACGCTAATGAGATGACAGGCTGGGAACCCCTAGACAGCTTCAGATGGCAGATGGTCACTAAATGACCAAGGGATGACTCCAGAGGGGAAGGATCTGGGATTAACTTGATCACCAATGGCCAATCATGACTAAGTGATGAGGCCTCCATTAAAAAAATCTCTGCCGTTTTGGAGAGTTTCTGGGTCGATGAAGCCATCCATGTGCCAGGAGGCTGGTGGTACCCAAATTCCCTGGGGACAGAAGCTCCTGTGCTTGCTCAGGACCCTTCTGGACCTTGCCCTACTCACCTCTTCATCTGTCTGTTCATCTGTATCCTTGAAAATATCCGCTACAATAGAGTAGTAAACGCAGTTTCCCTGAGTTCTCTGAGCCATTGTAGGCAATTAACAAACTTGAGGAGGGGGTGGTAGAAACCCCTGATTTGTAGCCAAGTTAAATAGAAGTGCAGGTACCCTGGGGACGTAAAACTTGAGGCTGATGTCTGAAGTAGGGGGCAGTCTTGTTGGACTGACCCTCTAACTTGTTGGGGCTACACTAACTCTGGGTAGTTAGCATTAGAATTGACTTAAATTATAGGACACCCAGTTGGTGTCCACAGAGAATTTGAGGATTGCTTGGGGTGGAAAACGCACACATTTGATGTTAGGAATGTTGTTAGCAGAGAAATGGTTTTCTCTTTTTAGGCTCTAAGTAAGAGAGTTCATACTATTGCCAATAAATATACAATGTTATTAAGATGATTTTTAGTCATATAAACTCAGAAAAATTGAGAAAACAGGAATAGGACCATCAGCATACAGAATATTTTAACATATTTTTGGAAGGGGAAAACTTAATGGAATAGTAGCAATCAACGAAGCAGGTCAAAGGAAACAGACTCTGCGGGAGATGATCTAACTACCCCGGGGAGAGCCTGGGAGCAGCTGGGCACACAGAATGCCAGGTAGGAAGGAGGCTGAGATGACACAGAGGGCCAAAAACGGAAGGACTAAACTAATTGGAAGTCTGTGTGTGAGACAGATGGCTCCCTCTCCCAACAAGGAGACTATTTTACACACAGGTGTTAACCCTAAGGCAAAAAATTAGAAGATTCTTCTTCTTTTTTTTTGTTTTTTGTTTTTTGTTTTTTTTTGAGACAGAGCCTCAAGCTGTCCCCCTGGGTAGAGTACCGTGGCATCACAGCTCACAGCAACCTCCAACTCCTGGGCTCAAGCGAGTCTCCTGCCTCAGCCTCCCAAGTAGCTGGGACCACAGGCACC